TCAGTAAAGAATTTCACAAAGAGAAATTATTTAACCTATCATAATAAAATGTCTAGTGCTCTGGAATCTGCTAGTTTTTATTTAAGAGGAATTCTGTTAGAAACACTAAAGAAACTATCAAACATGCATACAATTTAACCAGGATGGTATACTTTCCTCTGCCTAGAGAAGAGGGCTGGACTAGAAGATCTTCAAGATTACTTCCAGCCCTATGATTCTATATTCTATTTGTTCAGAGACAATAGCATTCCTTGCAAAACTGTAATGCTTACCTGTTTTGGGATATGACACTAATATGATATCATCTTGCCAAGCTCTAAAAGTATGAACCCTTTTCAGAGTTTCCACGCAGGTGATCATAGCAGGATATAATACCCCATCATACATAAACATCTGTTCTGAAGGAGCAGCCTTTTCATTTCCTTCCACTTTTTCATCTAGAAATTTGCTGAAGGATTTTGGATCCATGGTTGTGCTGTTCTAAAACCACAGATCGGTAACCAAGAGATTCAGTTGGCTTTGTAAGTGAAGCTAATACATTTATATAGAGATCATCTGTCACATGACACACTGAGGGTGCGTATCTTGTTACTAATTAACTGTCAAGAAATAAATCTATGAACAAAGTTTATTCAGCCCTTCCTCTCCCCCAAAAAAATTCCAGTGAAATTGTGGCCAACTTGGATTGACTAGATAACATGTTAGAGAAAAAGATATTCTTAAGGGGATAACTGACCAGAGGCAACCTTCTCTGGAAATGGGGTTAGAGTTCTTGAGTTTGTGAAGCACTTGCTGGACAGCATGCTATAAATCTTAGAGCCACACTTTCACAGAGCAAAAGGTGTGGCAGTAATTAGCCATTACAAAGCTAGGATATTCTGCTAGCAATTTTAACTCTCATTTTTCCTATCTTCTTCTGTTACAGTAGTTCAGTTGCAACTGCCATAGCCTATCTTTTTTTGTCATCATAAACCTTACTACCAAGTTGACTCAAGATTTGGCAAGTTAATACTGGATGCTTAACATGACATTGAGTTGCTTGCGGAAATTATATAAATTATATAACTGAATAATGATTATATATAATGTAATAATAGTATAATTGTTATTACATATCCTATCTGATCTGGAAAAAATGAGTATGCTTCAGGTGGTGCCGGCTAGAAAGAGTTGGTTGATGGGGCCTCAAGGGAGAAGTCATTTTTGCTGTGGCACCTTTCATAAACCCTTGAAAACTTGGATTTGTGGCATGTAATTTACATTAGGAATAAAGGGATGTCAAGATGGCAGCTACTAAGTCAAACATGTGAAAAAGGGGCAGGGCTTCAGTCACCTATTATGACCACCACCTTGATATGTTTGACACTCACACAACCTTTGAATGTGTCGAATTTATGATGATGTACCCTTCCATTAACTCAATCTGGGGTTTTTTTAGTGTCTTGGAATTTTTTTTAAAAAAAAAATATTGGATTGTTTTTACAATAGTGGTCATTGAAATTTCCTGCATCCATTAACAGATTCAGTAGCCTGGATTTGTATTATTTATTTCCTTTGGTTTATGTACTCCGGCTAGAGATGAAGGGAGATTTATTTGCGGCCCTTTAGAGTCTTTATTATGGAAACCTATTTGGAATAGAAAGAAGGCTAGAATAAGATATAAATATGGAATTTAAGATTATAGTGATGGGTTACAAAGGCTTTATAGAGATGCGGACTGATTTGGATTTGGATTTTTAAGAGATGTTATTAGGATAAAATTTAGAACTTAGTATTGAAATATAGTAAGAATATATTCTTTGGAATAATAGATCTTTCTTCTTTTCTCTTTCCTCTTTTGATCTATTTCTGTCTTTTTTATTATTATTATTATTTCTATTTTCTTATCTTTTTTATTATTAGGCATGATAATTAATTTGTGGAGGTATAATGAGAAAAAGATTGTAATAATGGAAGAGATGAAACTAACAAATGAAGAATAACTGAATAAGAAACAGAATATAGTTAAGAAATGTAAGAATGTAATGATGGAAATAATATGTTTAAAAAAGAGAAGTTACGGACATACATATGGTAAATAATATGTTTGTTTTAGGCTAAGTTGGATATGGTATTTGGAAATTAATAATAGCTGAAAACAGGACTTTGATTTATATAAGTAATGGGTTGCAGATAACTTTTATTGATTAATGGAATTTTTATTTAGGAATGTATTAACGGATGAATTTTACTTAGAAATGTATTAATTTCACTATATTATGTTAATTGATAGAGAGGGAAATTTTAAGGAGTATTATTTGAGCTGTATATTTATGATGTTATTGTATTCAACTGATTACCTTATCTCCATGTTGGCTCTTAAGCTTCTTAGTGCAAAAACGGAAAAAACAATAAAATTGTTTGAAAAAAAAATTGGAAAAATACGATTGAAAAACTAGTCTTTATGACATCGAAGGGGTTATTTCAGTGGTGGGATTCAGTCGGTTCACACCACTTCGGCAGAACCAGTAGCTAATTTTTTTTTGCCCAGGCCCAGAATGGACTTCCGAAAGCAGCATCCATACAGAGAACTGGTTGTTCATGTATTTGAATCCCACCACTGGGTTATTTCATATACACGTGGGCCCAAGTACATATTTTTGCTCTATTTTTTTCACAGATATTGAGTAAGTTAATCAGATATTGTGCCCTCCTTTCCACCCCATTTCAAATTGTCTATATTCTTCTTTGTCTGATCAGTATGGAGGATTGATCCATCTCTCCCTGGCTGAAGGTTTGTGCTAACAACATTTTCTGTCTGCCTTTCCTCTCCTCCTTCCTTGACACTCATATTATTAAAATATTAAAATGCCCTGAGATTCCCAATACAGAAAATGATTGGGAAAGTAAAACAGGCCTCTTTCTTGGAAAAGTGAAATATACAACCCCTTGTCCATGACATGACCAGCTTCACCCAGTTACAAAGGTGCTGCAGGGAGTAAAAAATTAGAAGTAAAACAAAATCATTTTTCCCCTCTGTTGCAGGAATTCTTCCCTTTGGTTCATTTCTTGTTCGGGTCAAAAACCAGAGGCTATAATTCAGAGTTCAAAAGTTTATTAGGCACATAAGGCAATAGTGTTGGGTGCAGCTGGCCCCCTTCCAAGTGTGTGAAACACTCTTTATAGATAGATGCGGACAACTTGGGAGCAAAATTGGTATAATGGTTAAGGCAGCAGGCTAGAACCTGGGAGACTATGAGTTCTAATTTTGCCTTGGGGATGAAACCAATTGGGTGACCTTGGGCTAGCTATGTTTTCTCAGCTTTAAGTAGGAGATAATGGCAAACCACTTCTGAAAAACCTTGCCAGAAAACTGTGGGGATTTGTCCAAGCAGTCTCTGAGAATCAGACACAATTGGAGAAAAACAAAAACAAAAAATAACTATTCTGGACAGATCTAGCCCTAAATTTGTCATGTTTATCTTTCCTAATAAAATACAGCAAATGTGGGCTGAGTAATTTTTTTTTTTTTTCAATATAAAATTTTTATTGTTTTCATCATAAAAAAAACAACACCAGTATTACACAATATTATTACACAATATTATATCCCACCCCCCCGGA